TCAGCTGAAGTCCATTTTCAGTTAGATAAAACTCCCATGATTATCTCACTTCAATTTTGCCCTTTGAGTGATGGGCCTCTGTTGCATGGCATCATATTCTTGGTAGCTTCTCCTGTTTTTGACCCTTTTAAAGTACAGTTAAAATGCATTTCTTCTAATATGACTCGTAAATAGGTTTATGTATGATTTTGTGCAACAGTGACATGGAAGACATTTTATAATAGCAGTTGTTTAAACAATAAACAAAAAATTCCTGTAAAATTTTCTTCAAAGAGCATCTTCACAATTAAACATTTCAATTTTTACACCTTCCAGTGGCTAGATTTTATTTTATGCAAATATATGCATATTTTTTGGATGCCCACATTTTTTGAAAACTTTGAATACAGAAAAAACGTTAGCAGTAATGACCTGGCAAAGATCCAGTTACTATGGACAACAACAACAAAAAAGAAAACCTGTAGACTTTAAATACACTTTTAATAGAAGTCAATGGGCAGCTGCAGAAACACCTTCTAATTGGCCTCCGTCGTAAGTGTGTTTTGAGTCAACAGGTCTTGTGTGCTTGATATGCTACTGATTGAGCAGATGGAAATTAGATTGAAAAGGCTGAAGTATTTCTTTACACTTTCTGTGCAAATTCAGGTAACTTGTGTGACTAAAGCAAAGAACTGTAGTCATTTGTTTTTTTGTGGCTCATTTGAGCGTATGTTTCTCAAAATGTTGTAAAATGGCTCCGTGTTTATGCCACAGTGTTCCAAGCAATATCTGTATTGCCATCTTATGATTCAAAGCTACAAAGATATGGGAGGCCCAGGTAGCCTTGTTTTTGTTCTTTTGCCTTTCTCGCTTGTTCTGTCATGTGTGAACCCCCATAGAGGCGAGCAGAATGGACCAAATTCGCATTTAAAAACAGCACTTGTGCCCCTTCCAGTGGCGTCATCAAAGCTGATCTCAGTTCAATGGTTCAGTCAATTGGCCCAATGGGAGGCAGCACATTTTACAAAATGACCACCCTTCTTCGGTGTGATTTGAACACTTCAGTGCTCAGCATGAGCCAAAGTACTCAAACTAACATTGGGGAGATAATTGGGCAAAAAAAAACCTTGCTTAGCAACGCTGAGCGAGAGTGAGTTCAGTAGAAACAGAGTGAACTGAGTGCTGATCCAAGTGTATGCAAACGTATCATTATTATTAAAGAGTACACGCGTGAATTATAGCGGCCAAACAGGATTTAAATTTCAAGGTAGCACAGTCCAAGCAACCTGTCGTCTCCATGTGAACTTAAAAGAAGAGAAAAACATTTGAGGAGCATCTTGGAGAACGGTTGGATGTGGGGAGAATGAAGAGGATTGAGACAACACCGGAGATCTTAAAACACTGCTAGAAATGTGGATAAAATCCATACAAAAAGTGCAGCCAACTGAGCAGACAACTCGGCCAAACAACTCGCCCAGACGTTTCGTTCCCAGAGACACATTAATCATTACTCCCTTACTTCATGCTTTAAGGTGTTGAACTAGATCACTGTGTGATTTGACAAAAACATCATTGTTTTTAGAACGGACTAACAAGCAGGCACACTTTGTATTCTGGCTAGCTGGACTAGCTTGTGTTTTCCAAATGGATTAGCCATTAGCCACCACTCTTCTTACAATCGTCTAGAATATTCTTTCTAGAATGAAGTAGCTTTTAGTCACAATTCTTTCTGAAATGGTCAAGCCTAGTATTCTTTCTAGAATGGATTAGCTATTAGCCCCAATTCTTTCTAGAATGGTCAAGCCTAGTATTCATCTAGAATGAATTAGCTATTAGCCACAATTCTTTCTAGAATGGTCAAGCCTAGCATTCTTTCTAGAATGGATTAGCTATTAGCCACAATTCTTTCTAGAATGGTCAAGCCTAGTATTCTTTCTAGAATGGATTAGCTATTAGCCCCAATTCTTTCTAGAATGGTCAAGCCTAGTATTCTTTCTAGAATGGATTAGCTATTAGCCCCAATTCTTTCTAGAATGGTCAAGCCTAGTAGTTCTTCTAGAACAGATAAGCTATTAGCCACAATTCTTTCTAAATTGGTCTAGCTAATATTCTTTCTAGAATGAATGAGCTATTAGCCACAATTCTTTCTAAATTGGTCTAGCTAATATTCTTTCTAGAACAGATAAGCTATTAGCTACAAGTCGTTCTAGAGTTGTCTAGTACTCTTTCTAGAATGGATTAGCTATTAGCCACAATTCTTTCTAGAAGGGTCAAGTATTCTTTGTGGAATGGATTAGCCATCAGCCACAGTCCTTCTAGTATGTTCTAGCTTAGTATCCTTTTTTAATGGGTTAGCTAGTAGCCATAATTCTTTCTGGTCTAGTATTCTTTCTAGAACAGATTAGCTATTAGCCACAACTCATTCCAGAAAGGTCTAGCCTCGTATTTTTTTTATAATGGAGTAGCTATTAGCCACAGTTCTTTCTAGAATAGACAAGCTAAGAGTATAAATAATAGTTTAACTCTTCTGTGGTCCAGTAGACTCTCTTGCCAGTTTTTTTAGCCAGTAAACTTGTGTATGGAAAATTCTATTGAACTGGTTCAAATTCATGAGTTGAAAACACATTTCAGACTTTTAACTGACTTGTATTTTAGGGTAAAATCCTCCTTTTACGTTAAATAACTTTATGCCTTAATTATGATTATTAAATTTAAATAAAAATTCGGATGTTCCATTTTGTCACTATTAAAACAATCATAATGCTACCAAAACTTTGCCAAATGTTTCAGTAGGGACTGTTTTGGTAGCGTCAATTGTAGCACAACACATTTTTGACAGAACTCAAAAACACTAGCGAGTACATGACTACACATAAAATCATAATATTTTTCATTAAAACATAAAGTTTACTTAATTGAGAAAATACGTTTCAATAGTGACAATTCTTAATGTTACACTTTGATTTTTAGACTTTGGGACACAGTGAGTTGAATCAGGAGTGTCTGTGACATCACTCCAAAAACCTCTCTGACAGCTTTACTTTAAAGAGTGTAACAAGGGTTATTTGTACTATTTAACCCATATAACATCCTTAAAACGGCCATTATTTTACAATAATGCACAGCTAAGTTATGCCTACTGTAAAGACTTTTAAATAGATTTTACTGACGTCTGAAATGTGATACATGGCCATATGTGAGCAATATAAATTGGATATAAGGGAAATTCATATAAACAATATATATCATATATTTGTAATCCATATGTTGGCATGGATCATATCTTCTTAATGGATTACCAGATTTCACTGTAGAGATCACACAGGTTTTTGGTATTGGGGTATCAGCCATATTATTTATTAGGAAAATGGTCCATCTGTCATGGACTGTAAAGGGTCCAGTATTATCAGTGGTGGACAGTAACTAAGTAAATGTAATTCATTACTGTACTTAAGTAGTTTTTCGTGTATCTGTACTTTACTGAAGTATTTTCCATTTTGGGTTGACTTTTTACTTTCACTCCACCACATTTCAAAGTCTAATATCTTACTTTTTACTCCATTACATTACATGAAATCTGTCGTTCCTTTTGGCTTAAGTGTGCATGAAAACCTAACATATCAAAAACGAAAGAAGCTCAAAGCAGAACACCAATCAGGGCACAGCGCACACTTTGCTGTGAGCTTGTTTTGACCTGTTGGACATACAGACCCAGTGGAAGCATACGGTTCAACGTCAGTGCAGCAGCGTAAAATTTTGGGAGTGTCTATTCAACACAAATGATGAAACTAACCTGACTTTGTGTAAATAGACCACAGTATAGAAATACGTACTCATACGCAGTTGTGACTGGCGTGTCTTTTTTCTGAATTTATACAAACACTATTTCATTTTATAGAAAATTTGTTATGTTGGCTAGTTTATGTTTATGAACAGAGACCTACAGATGCAGTTTAGTAAAGGAAAAACTCATTTGTTAACCTGTGTTTAAAGCAAGTCTTGAGGTTATTAAACTTTAACCTGTAACTAAGCTGCAAATAAATCTTAAACTGAAACTTTGCTTGTTTGCAAAAGGTTATTTCAGAGCCACTCAGTTCTACCTAATGGGAATTGTTTGCCTTCAGTGTTTTGTGCTTATGATAATTTTAATAGGCATCAGCGTCAGACTAATTAATGACATTCTATTAAAATATTGGTTGACCAAGAGAGACACTGGAGTATTTTCACCTAAAACGAGTTAATGAAGCAGAGTCTTGTTACAAAAATGGTAATAGGACATTAGAGTCATAATTAATCTTTTAGTACTCTTTACTTTTGATTCTTAAGTACATTTGAAGGCAAATACTTTTGTACTTTTACTCAAGTGGAGGTCTAAAGGGAGGAACTACTTTTACTGGAGTAATATTTTACCTTGGGTGTCTCTACTTCAACTCAAGTACATGACTTGTGTACTTCGTCCAAGCAATCGGGACACAGGCACTCCACCTTTTTTATTTTATTTATTTATTTTTTTAAAACATTCTGTTTTTTATTTTGTAATGTTCAACAATGAAAACATAGTACAGTATAAACTAATATAAAACAACTCCTTGTTTGGTTTCCTACACCCTTTTCCTTAAAGACCCGTCCTTGTCTCTCTACTCCACTCAAAGCAATATAATAAAACAGTGATAATAAACATAAGTACAAATACAGATGGGAGATAGATAACATACCTTGGTGAATAGAAAATAAAATTGGCAAACTAAACAAAACTTAACTAAAAATAAGCAAATAAATAAAACAAATAAACCAAATAAACAAAATACTAAAAAGAAAATATATATATATATATATATATATATATATATATATATATATATATATATATATACATACACACATACATACATATTCACACATATGCATCAGCCACTCCACCTTTCAGCGCGCTCACTGCTCCGTCCTTCAGAGACAGTGGCCCTAAGAGGCAGTAGGGGGCGATGTTGGAGCAGTTCTTCTTTTTCTCTCCTTCGTTTCGTCACAGCTCTACGTAGAGGGAAGCGCGCAGTGCACATGCTCTGGTCCATCTACACGAACAGGCATCATGGCGGACGTACTGGATCTTCACGAAGCAGGAGGCGAAGACTTTCCTATGGACGAGGATGGAGATGGTACGGGTTCACTGTGGTTTTATGAGGCTTGTTTACCTGTGTTAAGCGCAGGCAGTAGTCGGCGCCGTTTGTTTCCGTTATTCTGTCCCGAATTTGGCGTGTGGTGGATGTCGGGCCTGGTCCGCCTGACTCGGCTAATTCAAACATTCGCGCTAACACAAAGCTAACCCGAGCTAACTGACCGCCTCAGCCGTTGGAGCGCCGAGCCAGGTTAGACCTCTCTTTCTCAGAAGTTTAGCCCCATGAAGGCCAAGATGGGCGCTTAATCGTTTGTGGCGTTTTAGTAAAAATGTTCGTTAGGCGACGGCGCAGAAATATCATATCGCGATACTTGGATATTTTCACGATACGCGATAACGTGTCGCGATGTTTTGTCAAGCGAACACAACGCAGCAGTAACGTAATCCAGTTAAACGGGAATACATATTAGGGATGCACCAATCGTGAATTTTTATGGCCAGTTCTGATTTATATTACAGACAAATTGGTCGATGGCCGATTTTCATTATTAATGATGAAAACGATATAATATCTTTTTTGGCCTATCTCTGTGTTCGTGCTTCAGTAATGAGTGTGTAGACTGCCCTTACTGGAGTTTGTAGTTTTATAGTTACAGACTGTAGTCCATCTGTTTCTCTGCATACTTTGTTATCCTGTTCTTCAGTGGTCAGGACCCCCACAGGACCACCACAGAGCAGGTATTATGTGGGTGCTGAATCATTTTCAGCACTGCAGTGACACTGACATGGTGGTGTGATAGTTTGTGTTTCACTGATGCAAATAGATCAGACACAGCAGTACTGGTGAATTTTTTTAAACACCTCAGTGTCACTGCTGGACTGAGTAGTCCACCAACCAAAATATCCAGCCAACAGTGTCCTGTGACCACTGACGAAGGACTACAGGACGACTTACGCAAGCTGTGCAGCAACAGATGAGCTGATGATCTATAAGGTGGACCAACAAGCTAGGATTGTTTAATAGAGTGGACAATGAGTGGACACAGTGTTTAATAACTCCAGCAGCACTGCTGTGTCTGATCCACTCGTACCAGCACAACACACACTAACACACCACCACCAGTATCAGTGTCACTGCAGTGCTGATCTACCAAACAAATAATATCTGCTCTGTGAGGGTCCTGAGCATTAAAGAACCGGGTGAAAGGGGGCTAAAAATCTATGCAGAGAAACAGATGGACTACAGTCTGTAACTGTAGAACTACAAAGTGCACCTATATAGTAAGTGGAGCTGATAAAATGGACAATGAGTGTGGAAACAAGGTGGTGGTTTTAATGTTGGCTGATCTGTGTACAAAAAGTTACTCAAGCAAAGCATCAGTCGTACATTAAAAAAAGCCAGTGAAAACTTACAATAGTTAAAAAAAAGAAAAAAAGGCACATTGATGATGTGGCTGATGCCCATATCTGATGTTTTTCTTCTACGTATCTGCTGGTGCTGATACATTAACATTTCTGATGTGTAAATTGAGCACACATAGTTGGATTAGCATTACAGAGAATTTTTCCTGTGTTTATCTGTAGATAAATACAATAATATGAATAAAAACTTAGCGCAGTGCATCAGATTGATGCTAGTGAAGTTTTTTTTTAAAGCAGTTGTCTGTCAATACTGATGTCCTTGTCCATTCTAATGTTTTTGCGCCTGTATCAGAGAGCCTCTTAGCTTGGGTTCCTTTTACCAGAGGACGTGGATTGGGTTTATCCATGTGAATGAAAAGCAGTATGCACAGCTTTACACACAGTGAAATGTTGAGATTTTAGCATTGCTGAAAGGAATGTACCAGTATGGAGATTTTGTGCTGAGATCTGGTATTTTTTGTGTACTTTTGCAAATGCATAACCATACACATTTATAAAATGTAGTATTTGCAGCTAAACTTATCTGGATTAGTGTTATGTTTGTTTCTGTATCTTTACCAATGCAGTAAAATGAATTAAATTCTGACATTTTTGCACTGTAGCCCAACGTCATCTAAACATTCTGCTCTTCTGGAGTTCAATAAATCTATCATCAAATAGATAATTAAATAATTTAAATATCTGTTATATCATCTGTCTGACAATCATCTTAAAGCAGTTATTTTCTAATACTGATATGATTGTGATGTTATTGTACATGCCTGATTACTGAAGCATGGAAATACTTTAAAGGGGTACATATTACACACTGCACAACCTAAATGTGTGTCTTACAGTGACCAAACCTCTCGTATATCGAAATTAAAGCTAGACGATTTGCTCTAGATGTTACATCAATGACTATAGCTTATCTATCTAGCTGTCAGCCTTTCCCATGCTCAAATTTTTAAGTGCAGTAACTCTACTGTGATCTCTGAATTTCACCAAGATAATTTTATTCTTCGTGGAATATTTTATTTTGCAGAGAGTATTCACAAGCTAAAAGAAAAAGCCAAGAAGAGGAAGGGTCGCGGTTTTGGATCTGGTAAGATTTTCATTTGATTTGCAATAGTATCATTTTTAGATATAATCATTAATGTGGTTTCCGCTGCAGTCTAAAGGAAACCATTTATGTGTTGTCTCCAGAGGAAGGAGCGAGGTCCAGAGTGCGAGAAGACTACGATACAGTGGAGCAGGATGGTGATGAGCCTGGCCCACAAAGATGTGAGTTTTTAGAGCCTCTTTTGGCTACGTTCACATTACAAGACTTGTTGCTCAAATCCGATTTATTGCTCAAATCCGATCTCTCTGACACGATGGTTCACACTCGTTTAGGTAAGTGACTCAAATCTGTCATTAATGTGACGAACCGGCATCCTGAAAGTCTTACTCAGTAACGTCACGTGAATGAATCACGTGCATCATTAGCAACAAACTAACGAGCAGAACGAGCTTCACTGAGAAGATAATTAACTCTGATCAGCTCTCAGCTTCATTATTAGAGAGAGACGAAGGAGAAAAAGGTGAGATGAGCTGCTTTTCCACCGTTTACAGGCTTTAGCTTCTGCTCAGCGCTGCTGCCATGGTAACTCTGAATGATGGCTCTCAGCAGTGGGAAAAAAAAACACATGAATTCAGATTTGAGCGTCACATTAAGGTCGCATGGCCACAAATCAGACACTTATCCGATCTAGGACCACATATGAAAGTGGCTCAGGTCGGATTTGAAAAGATCAGATTTGTGAGTCCACACAGCCCTGAAAACATCAGATCTGAGTCACTTTAGGGCAAAAAATCAGATTTGTGCCACTTCAACATAGTCTTTGTGATTAGCCCTTCAGATGTTTTGAGTAGATCTGATCTCTGCTGTGGACTATATAGTAATGGATAAACATACAGACAAATAGAGATGCACTGGTCATGTATTTTTATGGCAGATTCTGATTCCTTTGTAGCCATATTGGCTGATATTTATGAACCTTTTTTGTAATCTGATGCTCACACTGTGAACATATAAAACACACTTGTACATTTTCAGCACTTTTTATTAACCAATCTTGCAGTATAAGTATCATTTGCTCTTTAATGGTCCAAACTGACATTTAAATCTCTTCAGTTTTAAACCAGTTGCCTATTTAAATATCACGAATCAAATATAGTGCTAAATTAAGAGGCAACTGGCTTTTAAGCACAGTGAGTCATGTATAATTATGCTATGACATTTTGGTATCAGGGTAGCAGCAGCATTTTAATTGCAACGCAGATCTGCCCAAATAAAAGCAATAGATTGGCGACTGTGTTTTGTGTTTTGAGCAAAAATCTTTGATGATTCTGTTTGTGCATCCCTGCAGACAAATACTAAAGCTCTGAGTTGGCTTCTACCAGGCCTGAGTGATATCTAAGAAGAATTAGCAAGATAATTTACTGTTTAAAAACCAGGAATGGTTGAATTGCTAATGTAATGCTTTTCACTAATTGTTCTTAGTTTTTAACAGTAAAAAGGAATAATATTTGAAATTGTTCAACAAGCTAGTTCTATATCAGTTCTAGTTCCCAAAAACAGTGACTATCGCCCCTGAAGTATTGTCATTGGTTAGTCACCTAAATCTGATAATATCGCCCAGGCCTAACTGCTACTGTTCTTTTAGGTGTGCATCACCATTTTTATAGATAACAGTGCGTCCTGCTGTATCAGAAACCATAGAAGCAAATCTGAGATTTATCAACTCCATTGTTAACAATTGATTTGATGTGTGATTTTAGATGTGCTGTTTGTGTGATGCTTATTGGTGAAGGTTGTCAAAGAGATTGTGACAATGTTAACCAACTACCTTGACTATCAGTAGACATGCTGATGTGACATACAGTTTTAGAAAATCAGTTTATCTCTGTCTCACTTCATAACTGAAGAAAAATGTCAGTCTTTGATTCAAGCTGGCCACTTTACATTTGCAGCTGTTGAAGGATGGATCCTCTTTGTGACTGGCGTTCATGAGGAAGCAACAGAAGAAGACATCCATGACAAATTTTCAGAATTTGGTGAGATCAAGAATCTCCATCTCAACTTGGACAGAAGAACGGGTTACCTCAAGGTAAGTCTGTTCCATTCCATGCTTATTTATTTGCGTCTTATTTATAATTGGGTCATAAAACAGATAGGCGACATGCATATTGACAGTCATTGATCACAGTATTTCGTTTTTATGGAGGTTGTGAACAGGTTAGTAAGGACAGAATGCTCCAGAAAACATGTAGTAGTGTCACGTTTGTTAAAAAGCTGTAGAAATTGTATTTGACTCAGTTAACTCGGAGCAAAAACGGCTATTTAATAACTCTAACTGTTTAGTTTTAATATAAATAATAGCAAAAAAATGAGATGGGGCTGCAGTGTGTCATTTTGCTTTTTAAAAGTGAGCTGAAAAGCATGTCTGGTATGGATGGAATCAATACTGGTGGAAAATGAGTTGTGGTATTGTTTACAGTATCCAGAACCGACAGGTATCAAAAAATCTATATTTTTGACAGCACTAGTACTTCTGTTAAATGTGTATTCAGATGAAATCCAGATACGGGACAAATTTTTATCAAAAGATTAGACAGGTGCCACACTATGCATATAGAATTGGACAGTTGATCTAAGCACTGTGAGGTGATCTATCAGCCCTTGTCTAAATACAAGAAGAGGAGATTTTTCCCATATTTTTCCTGTGGCCTGTTTTTTGCCACAGTTTAAGGTCCTTCATGTTGATCCGCTTAACTGAGTGGTAAAAGAAATCCATTTTGGATTGAACTGGTCTGATGTTGATTTCTTGTTAGTTACTAATTATTTGTAAGTGTCCACTAAGTGGCAGTATTTCACAAGAGGTAAAACGCAAAAGCTGTTTTGTACTCCAGTTGTTGACGGGTGTTTTTACTTATCTCCTGATTTATTTACTGACACATCTGAATCTATACAGTGTCTACTTCAGATATTGCCTCAGTGTGTGTAGTGGCAGTGGTGTTTTAGCAAATTATCTGCACAGCTTTTGAGAATCTTTGACCTTTTTTGACACTTTAATGTTTATTAGAGTTTTGCTCAGATTATGTAAAGAAAACAATTAGTAAATATTATAAACAAAAATGCAGCAAAGGAAAGGGGGAAAATGAGAGGAAAATAAAAAAATACAGTTAACATTTTTTCTATAGTTACCTATTAAGAGTCTCTCCCTTGAATGTCTGGGTTTTTTTTTGGTTTTTTTTTTACATTGGTTAAAAAAGTTTATGAAATAAGCTGATGTCATTATGGGCCAATCACATCATTTTTGATATGCAGTTTATACAGTTATGCTCTGGTTGTTGTTGTTGTTGTTGTTGTTGTCTACAGATTCTGTAATTGGTCTAAATCCGTCTTCTTAATGATCCTTGCAGCTGTTGGGTGTTTTAGTATTACTGACTATACCAATGATGTACTCATAGAAAACATTGCTGTTGTCGGAAGAAAACCTGTATCTCCAAAATGATAACTTTACAGGAGAAGGAAAAAAACTACTTGACTTTTAATGTAAGTCAATGGAACCAGCACAACCCTTTTGATAGAGATACAAGGCTTTCTTCCGACAGCGGCGATATTCTAATGTAAATATATAATAAATGTAGTTAGGCTGAAGATACACTGCACAGTGTCATGTACTACTATAATAATTCAATATAATTGTGACTGTGCAAATTTCTCTAGAGCAATAACATTTGACATCAAACTACTCTGAATGTTTCCGTTTCAGTGATTAAAATCATGCAGAAATTTGAAAAATGGATGAAGCTCACCTAAGATTTAGTAGCATTAAGAATAAGTTAAGCTTCATTAGTTTCATTTTACTACAGAATTAATAGTGTAATGCACTATAATATATTACCCACCCGAAATTTTACTCTGTTTACTTTGTTTGTAGGGTTATGCGCTGGTGGAGTATGAAACATACAAAGAGGCACAGGCTGCCATGGAGGGGCTGAATGGCCAAGATCTTATGGGTCAACCGATCAGTGTTGATTGGTGCTTTGTCAGAGGGCCACCGAAGAGCAAGAGGAGGTGAGTATATCAAAATAAAAATGCCTGAATAACTGAAGCAGAGACTCATTCACAGTCATCATCACATATTAAAACTCGGGCACATGACGGTTCACTGGTGGTTTTGAATAGTAAATAAAATGGCTATATTTGTATTGTAGACATCCTGAAACACGGTTCTCATCACCACCACTGTAAAGAAATGAGTCAGCAAGTTTCTCTACATTGAACCATTTCATATCAAACCACTCTGAATGACTGTTCACATCTCAGTCATTGAATTATGTTGGTGGAATTCCCTTTCAAAGAGTAGCTTGACCAAACATGCTAACCTGGTTTACAATAAATGCAAGCCAGTTACCACCAGTTAGCATTCCTCACTAAACTAATCCCTAAGTGACTCAAATTTGGTGTTGGCAGTAAATTAACTCGTATTCTCTAATCTTTTCACACTTTAATGCTCTCATGACTACTGCTTTAAAACGTAATCTAACATTAAAGCTGCAGTGTCTAATCATTTTCCCCCTCTTCTCCTGCAGGGGTGGAAGGAGACGTAGCAGAAGTCCAGACAGAAGACGGCGCTGATTTCCTCGTCTCCAGCATCCGCCACTTTGCCTTTTACAGAGTTGTAATCCAGAGGCAGTGTGGCTGCATGCATTTCTCTAATGGGTTGTTTTAGATTTTAGTGCTTTTTTGTTATTGTTATCTGTCTTGAGTGTCATCCAGCTGCTGTCTGTGTAGTTTTCTCTACAATGGAGGACCACCAGCACTGCGGCAGCTCTTGTAATATGACATCTGTATAGTATTGGTTTCCTTGGTTTTACTTAATTTTTGTACGAAATTGAAGAAACTGGTCCTCAAAACCCAACCTAGGCTAACATGTCATAGCACATATGCAACATAGATCCATTTTAAAGATGTTTGTTTGTACACTTCTAATAAATTTCTTCAGGGCTATGTTTATCTCTGTCCTTATCTCTTGTGTTTATTCTGTTCAGTATAAAAGCTATAGAGCTTTAATCCTACAGTGCTTCAGTGATAACCGTTATTGAAGGTGGTGGAATGATTTTAAAGCTCTGATCAAACAGGTAAAACTAGAGATCTTTCAGCTAATGCTGTTTGATGCTATTTATGTAATTCCTCATAGAAGCACATACTCTAAGTTCATTTGTGTATTTGTAAATATACAACAGCTGGGCAGTATTGCAATTAGTATTTTCAGTCACCAAATTACTTAAAGCTAATGTTTAGGAAACGAATGACTAAATCATGCTACATTCAACTAAATCTTAAAGGTTAATTTTAATCAATTTTCCCAAATTTCTTTTGCATAATTACATCACTGAGGTGGAAACAGGCTTGTAGAGTGGCCTGTAGAGTTTGAAGTCAAATGTTACTGTTCCAGAGAAATTTGCAGTCAGTGTTTACAGTGGTGGTGATGGGAACCAGATGTTGAAAGAGTTTTCATTTTTATATATATATTTATATATACATTGTTTGACAATAGTTTTGTGATGAAGTTTTGCCTTAAAATGTATTTTAATCCATTTTTTAAATCCATTCATGGTGGAGGGGTACAAGCAGGGTGTTATGAGGCAAAAATAGTCCCCAAAGAAAATGTAGTTTTTTTTCAGATTTATGATTATTTTACCATAATCAACATTACATATTAAACTTAAGACACGTGTAGGTTCACTGGTTGTTTTGGATAGTAAATAAAACAGCTATATTTGCATTGTAGACATAGCGACCCCTGGTTCCTATCACTACCACTGTAAAGAAATCTGATTTCACATCAGAACACTCAGAATGACTAACAATTCAATCTTAATGAATGTTATGAAAAGATCTTGAACTTTAACAGGTATAGTAGCTTCGAATGGCATCAGTGTTTCAAATAAATAATGCAAAGAAATTTTATCTTGATCATTCTATTGATGTTAACGTATTGGAAATGCACTAGACACACTAAGTAATAATAAAGGGTAACATAGCAAAACTGGGGGTGGGTGATGTAGCAAAAATATCATGATACTTAAAGACATTTTCACAATACGATACACCATGATATTTTGTCCCGTAGACTCCATACAGTACTAGTTCAAAAACCTTTAAAAACTGCAAATCTCTGATCACAGTTAGTTATGCTCTCTTTGTAATGAAATGTGTAGTTGTTCAATGTTGTTGCTCTTACAGAAGAGTCACATGTGAATAAAACCGTTTTTGCACACATTAAAATGGTGTCATCACATGTAAAAATATGAGCTCACAGGTGAAATTGTGTTTACGTCTAAAAACGTCTGATTACTTGTAAACACAAGTGGTTTTTGCACACTTCACATGAAGTATATCACTGTTATCGGAAGAAAACCTTGTATCTCCAAAATGGTAACTTTACAGGAAAAGAAAAAAACCTACTTTATTTTTAATGTCAGTCAATGGAACCAGAATTTTTTCCAAGTCATTTTGGGCCATTTCGTTTGTTCCATTCTTCATGAAATTTTCACACAATGTAAAGAGCAACAGGTGTTTTCAAATGATGTGAAAAACTGAAAAATGTTGTTCATGTCGATAACAAAATTTATCACAAAAACGATAAAATATCTTAATATTGCCCATCTTTAGCAAAAACAATGAATGAAAATGACACATTTGGTAAAGTAATTGGTAAAATAATAAAAGCTAGTGAAATGTTTGCTATTAGAAATATAGTTTAGTTGTTTTATCTCTGCTGAAAACATTCTGAACCCTTCATTTAGTTGAACTACACATGAACAATGTGAATTAGGTGGTTTTCTTTATTAACATTGCTTTAAATCTCATCATTAATGACTGAGCTTTGTGTAAGAGTTTGCTGAACAAGAGAATGTTGGTCAATTTGCTTTGACAACCGATCAACTTATTTCTATTCAGGTCTGCAAATCAGCCAACTCAGCAGAAAGGAGCAACAGTCAGAGAGAACAGCGGTAAAACTGTATCTCTTAAAATAAAACTACACGTCATTTCAGTGGAAAAAGAGTTCGTAATTGTGGAAAATTCCGTCTTTAATTAGCTTTTAGCACCTGACTGGTGACGTCAGAGAGCCGGATTTAATGACACAGACATCAGAATCTTCCACATTCTTCCAGCATCATCGCGATGATGTCATGACGAAGTTGGTCTCTGGAAAAAAATGAAACAGCGCTGGTCACTCACAAAGCTGAGCCTCATTCATTGGCTCGCTGGATCTCTGCCCGCCCACGTAAAATGGCTACAGCCAATCAACGGGCCGCCCAGCGAGCTCTGTCTATTGCCGTTGGATTCAGAGTCTTAACGTTTAGCAAACCTCTGCGCTCATTGGTCCGATTTTGTGCCAGTCAAATAGTACACTGTCTTCTGATTGGCGGGTGACAAAGGCAAGCTCTCTTTCCCCCCACAGATGGGCGGATTTTGTTGCGCCTCGGTTGACATTGTTGTTGTTGTGGGAGTAAGAATGTAGTTTATTGTCAAGTCTGTATTGGCGTTAAAAACAAGTTCAACTTTTGGATTAAAGCACAGCGGAGTGAAGAGTGGCTGTCGGCCGGGATAATTTGATGTAAAGCGAAGGCTAGAATGGGTCGCTGAGGGAGAAACTGTAGCTTCGAGGCCGCTCAAGCTCAAGGTAAGCAGACAACGGCCACTACTCAGCTAGCTAACGCTAGCTAGCGTTAGCCATGACAGACACTGTGGAAGGAGCCGAAAAACGGTTTATAATGGGGTTGAGCGGGGAGCTGCTTGTTTCACTGGAGTCCGTGTTACTTGATAAGTTACGAAAGCTGAGGCTTTGATACTGAAAAACAGGATTATTGAAAAGGTAAAGTAAAGCTAGAAAGTCATTCACTCGCTAACGTTAGTCAGTCAACTTATACCGTTACTAGCTAACGGCCACTAACTTCTCCCCTTCGCTTTCTGAGGGGTTCGGTCCATATAACAGCATATCTAGGCTGCTGCTGTGCGGTGAACTCTTCACAGGCGTTCCCATCTCTGTTTCTGTGATTCTGTGTCCGAACGAACTGATACATCGCTGTGCTTTTTGCAAACCCTCTGAGGAATTTGAGTCCAAAAGTGCAGAGCCTTCTAAATTCACACCGAGCTGTTCAGTCAGTGACACCGTGTAGCATCTCGCAGTTATATTCCTCGCTTTTAATGTGGGATATTTAACGTGGGGAATGAGATGATCCATCACTACCAACATACACACTCTTTAAAAAGATAGATCTTAAAGGGTTCTTTAGGTTGGGCAATGGTTCTGTTTGCAACCATGACTTCTATCTATTTATTTCATGCTTAAATGGTTCTTTGGATGGTGAAATGGTACTTCAGATTGATGGAGATGTTGTTGTGTATGGTACTATATAGAAGCTTTTCGGAAATGGTTCTGTGTAGGACCAGAAATGCTCTTCTGTTGTTACAAGCTTGATAACAACAGCAGAACCCTTTTTGGTTCTGTATAGAACCGTTTTTGAAAAAAGAACCAGCACTTTCTCCATCACTCTGAAGAACCTGTTCACCATTTAAATATGTAGAAATGCTTCTGTATAGAACTCATGGAGTGTTAAACTGCTTCTCTCCCCGTGGAAGAACGAAGGAACCAAGCCCATGTCGTCCAGTAAAAAGTGCTCATCATCCCTTTCTGATGGGACCCTTGCTAAGAGGACATGAGCTCCACTATAGGGGCTCAGTTTTAAAGAATGAAGAGATTTATTACAGAAAACATTTGAAGACATTTGACTCTTGAGACCTGTTTTAAGTGATTTAATCAGTAGCTCACGTTTAAGTCACTGGTAGCTATTTTATTCCGTGTGTTAGTTAAAGCTACGCTGTACGTTTTGGGGATGTGGAGACCTCTCTGGCGGAAATGTGTAATTGCACACAGCGTACAGAAGAACACTTTGTAGCATGGGCTGTGCTCCGTACCCCTTCCCCGAGTGGATGAATCGAATGATTGCAATCATTTTGAAAGAGTATTCAAAGACAACTCGGTCAGAGGTTGGTGAAGGACGTGTCTTCCAAGGACATGAGTGAATTATGCACTGTTGTCATCATGTCTTTATCAGAATAGTATGAATCATGCATGTAAGCCATTTCTTCTTGAGCCTGTGCGTGTGATGTTAGACATATGACATGACCTGAAAACTCCCACGAAATCTGACCCCACAACTCTTCTCAGTTATTAGTTCAGGTTTACAGGGCGAGTCGCAGCAGCACTTCTTTCAGTTTTGTTTCACAGAAGTTCTGTTCTTATCATACTAGATGTAAACATGTAAGCCTTGGCGGCAAAGAAACATATTTAAATATACAATGACATGGTTCCCCTTAGCGTAGTTTAGCCCCGCTTAGCCACAAAGAAGTTATATGGAGTGGTCTGCTTTTTGAATGAGATGCAGTACAGGACAGTCTGTAAGAACAGAGGTCTTTTGCATATGTTAGTCTTAAAGGCAAATTTACCAAAATAGCCTGTTAAGTACATAAAAAAACAAATGCTAAAACAATGAACATTAAATTAAATGCTAGACAAGTGTATTATTTGGACCCTGTAAAGAGTCATGGGGGCTGCTTTCCTGTATGTGGATTGTCCAGCACAGTACCTTTGCCGTGTCAGTGGTGTTTCACCATTCAACATCCTATTTAGTCCAGGCTTTGGCTTAATCTGGGTCCAGGAAACCGGCCAACAGTGTAGTTTATTTTACCAACTAGCTAATTACTTAGTCACATAAGCAGTGCTTGTTGTAGGGGAGAGTTAGATGTCAGCGTTCGTAGGCGAAAGTGGATTAAAGCTTCCTAATTTAGACAACCTGCAGGTTGTAGTCAACCACGGTAGATACTTTTGAGTGGCATAAAACCGTTCAGTCAGTCTGGCTGAGGTGTCCAGCTATGAATTATTTGATTTTTATCATGAGTTAATGGTCCATTTCTGTGTAATTCTGATTTCCGGCCTACTTCATGTGTATTTTATCTCTGTTGTCTTTAGTGGAGGATTTAACGTGATTCAGTTGAGTTTTACTTTAGCAGACAACCAAATCTTTACCATAAGAGATGAAATTGACTCCCATTCTTGTGACCTTGTAAGTCAGGCACAGTAAAGGTAGGGGTCTTCAGTTCCAGTCCTGGAGGGCCAATGTCCAGTAATTTCTATGCTCAAACATACCTGATTCAACTGATGTGTTAATTGTCTGGTTTAATAGGTGTTATTTAAATAGGGCAATCACCAAACTGTGATCCAGGACTGGAGTTCAGTACCCCTGGCCTAAGGGACTTGAAGTAAACCGGAAATCAAAACTGCCTTTTTTTTCACCTTGTTGGTTTATGACCCTGGTCATATTAAGCATGATTCATCATATGTCATTTGAAAGTCAAAATGTAATGACTTTCATCCACCTCTGAATGTTTTCCAAGTGAAGTAATGTATGACTTGTTTTACCTCCCCCTCCCACCTACCTGTAGTGGTGGGCAGTATGACGATTTGTATCGTTACTGTGATAAACTGCATCACAGTTTGAATATTATTTATATATATATATATATATATATATATATATATATATATATATATATATATATATATATATATATATATAGTAACGATACAAATCATCATATTGCCCACCACTACCTTAAAGTGTCCGCCTTTTCTCCCCATAGTGTTCAGGCGGTGGTCAAAGCTGCTCTGAACTGGTGAAGGAAGAGTCTGTGATACTCTCATTACCAAACTGCAAAACGAAGGTTTGGGCCACTCGCCTGCCCCAGCCAGCATCCTCACAATGTGCGCATAGGGTTACACCAGGCCCTGAATTATTCAGCTCTTTATTTACAAGCTCTTTTGTCAGCTTGTTGTCCAGAGTAGGCAGCCAACCCCAAACATGAAAGTAGGGCAGGCAAACAAGGTCTGTAGTTTTTAGGCCTGTAGGCCTCATTTTTCTTCTTTTGAAAGGGGGAAAAGCACATTATTGATAATGATAGTGAGGCTCCTTTAGCATTGTCCTGGCTCATAAACACACAGCGCTTTGTGTCATGAGGATTTAAAAAAATAGCTCTGCTTTTGGGTAATTTTGAGCAGAACTGTGCTGGGAAGACTGTCAAGCACTGGAAGAAAAATAAAGAAAATGGTGTAGAGTCTCTTAAGTATCACCCTCACTTTGAAGCGAGTTCAATTAAGCACTCTTGAGCTATTAAATAATCTTGCTAATAACATGAGTTGCCTTTTAGTTGTTGCTCATTCTCCTTGGCTAATGGTGTGCACCTGCTAATAAGTGCGTAGTGCTATTCATGCATATATTCCAGCAGCTGAAGCTGCATCCTGTTCTGGGTTCCGGGTCATCTTGTGACTGACAGCAAGGTAGTAATGTGAGCTACGAGAAAAATTCAATAAATATTACATGGGCTATATGGACTGTTGGCTGACAAGGAAAAAACAAAAAAGTCGCAATACTATTAGGCATATTCAACATATGATATAGCTATCAGATGTATAGCTATTATTTAAGAGTATAACGATTCACAATTCATTCTTTGATTTGATACTATACACTGGTGTCTTTATACATTTTTTCAAAACTGCAACAGTAAAGAGTGACTGGAAGATGCGCCTTATGTTAGTGTTTTAATTTACATTTTATTACAGCATTCAACATTGTAAAAGTACAATGTTTGAAGCACATGTCCTTTATAGCATCCAAGTATTATGCTCTAGCTGCAAGCTATTATGCCAGCCCCAAGCTAACATGCTAGTCACAGTACATTGATACGATACAATATGATACAATATGATATGTATCTCTGATATCCATCATAATTAAAGATGGCAAAACTCATTTGACAGATAATCGACTGCTATTAATCATTAACTGACAAACCTAACATCATGGACACGACCAGAAAAGCATCAGACACAGCACTGAATTTTATTTAAACAAGGCTTTAGGCTTATTGAGTAAAAACGCAGTCTAACATAACAGATGTGATGGAAATGTAATGTAGGCTACTGACTGACTTTTACCACATATTATCAGCCAAAGTTAACAAATCTATCTGGCCTGATTGAGGCGAGCTTAAAGTTTATATACATAGTTTAAACAACAATCAACATAATATCAGTACCTTGCAGGTTTTAAGGTTTTTGTCTTGAAACAAACATGACTGTTAGCTAACAAAGATATTCATCTGGAATTCAACAACGAGATGTTTGGCATCCACAGCTCCAAAAATCAACATTTGGTTTAGTTTCTGCTGCAGTTGATGGCAAGTGTGGTTGACGCTTGTGCTGGCAGAATTTTCTGTTGCGGTTCTATTGAAAACGATGAAATATTGGGTTTGCCGGCATCCGTTTACCGCTAACATGTGAACGCAGCATCAGAGAAGGTAACGAATGTGTATCGGAAACGTCTGGCCCATATCTGATTTGTTTAATAAGGTCAGTATTGGTACATCACTAGTTTATGTCCAGTGCTGGCAGAATATCATTGAAATAACAGTCTCTGTTTCAGAGTTTTCAACTTGAGCAGTGTTTTCCCACAGAAACTTTAGCTTTCTTCTTGCCAGCTTTGCGACCCTTGCGCTGGTGTGATTTCCGCTGTAGCAGTCTCACCTCTGCTGTCTTTTGCCTCTGTTGTGGTTATCATCTCA